TTCTTCACTACACTTTGCTATAGCATCTGTATCTTCAATGATCTCTTCATGAAGTCGAGCATGAAGCAGGGCCATGTCATAAGAACTAATTGTTTTAGATTGGGGCTAGAATTAAGTGCAATTCATTCACATAACAGTGAGATATACATTAATTTATCGTTATATATGTCTGGTTCATGTTAGAGACATTGTCATGTTCAAGAGCATTATCAATCATCCCCTGGAGCATCACTTTCACTGCTATCAGGTCATTGCTGACTCATAGTGACCCTCTATCGACCTTATAGGTAAGGTGACCAGACGTCCCGCTTTTGGCGGGACAGTTCCGATTTTTGGCATTTTTGAAAAGTCCCAATTTTTGGAAAGAATGCACGACAAACTAGGGAACGGTCTATTTGGTCCATATAGACCAAATTTTTAATCAAGAACACACACCCCCATGCCCCTGTCAATGGTGTCCCGCTTTAAATCTGGTCACCTTACCTATAGGGCAAGGTAGAACTGCCTGTGTGAGTCTCTGAGGCTGTAGAACTTTACAGGAATAGAAAGCCTCATCCTTCCCTGGGGGAGCTGGCTGGTAGTTTCAAACTGCTGACCCTGTGGTTAGAGTCAGTTTTGACTCAGTGACCCTCTAGGACGGTAGAACTGCCTGCCCCTGTGGATTTCTGAGATTACACATTTTGACGGGAGTAAAAAGCCTCGTCTTTCATCCGTGGAGCAAATGGTGGATTTGAACTGCTGACCCCGTGGCTAGTAGCCCAATGATAACCCTCTTCCATTGGCAGCAGATGTAGTTGCTAGACAATGTGCACACATCTCTTGTTTACATAGGCAAATATTTTTAATTTATTAGAAGCCCTGATTATTATACCTGATTTACCAGAGGCCTTTTACTGTTGACTGTGAATTACTAGTTTGATACTTAATTGTTCAATTGAAAGCATCTGTTTAGTGGTTTTGCTTGACCGAGATAGTCTATTGAGCTAACCACCTGTGGTGTTTGCCATTGTATTTCATTAGGAACGTATCAATGAATGTGATGAGAAATGCCTTTCAATTTTGGCAACTGTTTTAGTGTCAATGGAGCCGTGCAAGAATGTGGATGTTCTTCGAGCAGGATTGAGGTAGGAACTCTGTTAGGTAGGAACTCTGGCTTTCTTCATGGATTTGTCTCTATTCCTCCTAACTCTAGAATACAGAACTGAAACGAACACTGAACTGCTTTGTGGTGGGTGAAGGGGGGCCAGTGTGACGGAACTTTATTGGACATTGTACTGTTCAACTCAACACCTTACTAAATTTAGAAAGCTGACTCAGGATTGTGTAAAGCTTAAAACAATACTACTTTTAGAGTCTTCCATTAAGAAGGTGTGGGTAACAGTGAGATATAAAGTAATTTATCTTAAAAGGTACTACTGATGTGGCCTGGGGGAGAATTGGCACATTTATTCTATTCACAAAAGCTTTTGGATACATGCCATTGGGTGGGCTTGAAAGGTTTCTTGAGTTTCATAATTTATATAAAATAAATGCAACTGATTTAATGTGATAGGTCAGCGAGTTACTTTTTAAATTGCCTATGAATTAATCTATCTTACTAGAATCACCTGATCTCAATTCTTCTTCAACAAAGCCAACACAGTAGTTTGGGAGGTAGTAGTGCTGGACTGGTTCTGGCCAGTCAGGTCATCTGGCTGCTGTGGGTTTCCTGTTCCTTGCTGATAAAGTAGCTGAACCAAATGAAGCTTAAAGATTTTGATTCTGGTCCTAAGATTCTAGAATTGGGATGTTAATTGTGTTTGATGACAGGATACTAGCTGATCAGCAAGTTTGGAAAATAGAACGGATCTTCACATTACAGGCAATGATGAAATGTATTGGAAAAGACGCACCGATTGCTCTTAAAAAGAAACTGGAGGTAAACATCTTCTGAATTTTCTCCCCTGGATGAGACTGAGAACGAAATTTCTTGTGATATGCTATCATTTCCGACACTTGGTATTAGGAGAACATTGCTACGCTCTAATTTGCTTTTGCTAAAGTGAAATGTAGTAGATTTGTATTTATCTGGGTACATACATCAATACTTGTGTATATTTGTCTCTCTATATATTAGTCTGACTCTTTGCTCAGACTCCTTTTTTATTGAAAAGTAAGTCTAGCTGATTTAGCCACAAATGAGAAATCTGAATTTGTTTTTCTTTAGATGAAAGCCTTGAGGGAATTAGACAGGTTTTCTGTTTTGAACAGCCAGCGCATGTTTGAGGTACTAGCTGCCATGGACCACCGTTCTATTACACTCTTGAATGGATGCAGTAAGATGGTCCTAGGTAAGGAAGCTGTGTTTTTTTTAATCACTTGATTAGGGGCTCATACAACTCTTATCACAATCCATACACACATCAATTGTGTAAAGCGCATTTGTACATTCATTGCCCTCATCATTCTCAAAACATTTCCTCTCCACTTAAGCCCCCGGCATTAGGTCCTCATTTTTCCCCTCCCTCCCCGCTCCCTCCTCCCTCATGAGCCCTCTTTAATGATTTGTAACATCTGACCTATTTGTCTTATTTGTTTTAACATTTTTGCTATGAAAATACCTGATGATGTGGTTTCATCTACATTGTTTGTTTTTTTTGCCTGTAGCTCTTTTCTATAATGGCATGCTATTTTTCTCTAAAGAAACAAAAAACACTGAATATCTTAAGTCTTACAACAAATATTTTTGTCCATTTAACTCCTTTTTAAAGATAGCATCTACGGCTGCCCTTTCAAGAACCTGGTCAGCATATTGCAGGCCTGCAAAGACCTCCACTACCGCAACGTCGCTCTTTTCAAGGGGATAGCAGATTATGTGGCTGCCACTTTTGACATCTGGAAGTTGAAACAAGTGAGTGTGTGAACAATTCATGACGCATACTCGTTTATTTAGGTTTCTAAATTTTGCTTTGTAGACATTAAGAAACAAAAATATTTCAATGCTAAATTGACTTGTTACAGTAGGTCCTTATTAATTCTGTCCAGAGGTACTTGGTAATACACTATTTAATCCTCTGTTCATTCCAGTTGAAAAAGTATGTATATTATGAAAAGTTCTCATCTTTCTGTTTTCAAAAGGTTGGATTGCATTTGGTTATATGGTTAGCATTGCTTTAATCGTTTTGCTTTTCCCTCTTGGATGGAGGATAATGAAAATGGGCAATGTGACAAACTTATCTATTTTGGGAACAGATTACTGTGGTTCAGGTGGAAATTTACCAGGCACATTTGTTTCCCATTCAACAGCCTATACACATTTTGTTTCCTATCATTAGTTGCAAGCCTTTTGGTGTAATACCACTGTTTTTTCCCCCTGGGTTCCCACCAATTCCATTTATCCTTCATCCCTGTCCCTTCCTGCCTTCTTGTAAACAGTCCAGCTGGTGCCACTAGACCACCAGAGCGAATGACCCCTTCCTGCCTTCTGAACCTCGTTCTGGGCAGCTCCCCTCTTGGTCTCCTACGGTTGGTTGCTGTTGTGAGCACGATCCTCGCCTCCTGACCGCTCACTCTCTAGGCCTGTTTCACTGAAAGCTGACAGTGAAGGTGTGGGTTCAGTTTCAGGCTTGAAGAGAGGCTTCTTTTTGAAGAATAAAATATTATTACTCAATGGTCAGATCTAGCTTCTCCTCATGGACAGTTTGCTGCCTGTGTCATCCAGAGTGAACGCCCTGATGTCTGTGTTAACAATGTCAACATCCACATGAAGCAGTTGGTAAAAATGGTTTGTGATGAAGCAAGTGACAAACCTGACCGAGTCCTAGGTCCCATGTTCTCTGAGGAGGAAAGTGACAGTACTTTGAGTTTGCCATGGGAAGTTATTCTGAAGAAAGAATAATCATAAATGAGAGAGACCAAAATAGGAGGTGAACTGTATAGCTTCTTTGTATCACTATATTTTAGAGCAATTCACATTTAATGTAGAGTTTTTTAATTAGAAAAGAACATTGCTTATTAAATTGATAACAGATTGTAGACTCGAGAAAAGTTTAGAAGAAATCATTAATTGTTCCTTTTCAAGGAATATTTTGTTGATCAGGATAGTTCTAAGGCTATTGAGATTTTAAAGTTACTGTTAGCATGCTAAAATTATTAAAAGAGTCTTCCCCCATTCTTTCTTTTTCAGGTTCTCTCATTCCTCCTGTTATTTGAAGCCTTTGGCTTTCGACCTACTCACTTGATGGACTTGTTTATGAAGAAAGTGGTGGATGAACCCGACTTCCTCAACGTGAAGACCACTGAGGCGATTCTGCGCGTGTATTCGTCCCTCAATCACCTCCACCAAGGCCAGAGCAAGGAGTGTGTATTTGTTCTCGAGCGCTTCTTGACTGCTGCACCACATATTTATAGAAAAGAGGATACACCGTGAGCTTAATGAATTGTCACCAGTGGATACACGGCTGTAGCCACCATCCATATCGAGAAATAAAACAGTGTGGCCCTATGCCATAATGAAAGTAAACAGGACTGTATTTTACCTTGCCTTTGTTCTTCCTGGCCTTGCGGTGTGTTTCTGATATCTTTGTTAATTCACTTTAAGAATTTTCATTTTAAATACTCCCAACTTAGCCTTCACCTCCTTCGTTCATAGTTCATGTCTAGCCCTAACGATTCATTTGGTTACAAGCTACTGCTTTCTTGCCTTTTTATTTTAACCACAACTGTGACTCAGCGCCTTCTTCTTCTCCTCTGGAGGGGCTGTTCTCCCATCCCAGAACACTGATGGACAGAGAATTGCCATCGGTGCTCCAGGTCTCTCAGACATACTCATAATAAGAATCTAGAGTAGAAGTTAACGCGTGGGCGCTGGAGCTTGACAACTTAGGTTACAATGTTTTCTCTGCTACTTCCTGTCCTGCGTGTACAGGCTGCATGTTCTTGTCAAAGTCACTTAACCCTGCTGAACTGGTTGACTTACCTTTACTGTCAGGATAACCATGGCTGACTCCATGGAACTGTAATGAGAATTAAAGAAGTTCAAGCTTGCACCCATTTGCTCTGAGCGAGACATATGGCTAAAAACAATCCCATGGCTGTTGAGTCGATTCTTCCATATAAAGTGACGCTGTGAGATAGTAGAACTGCTGCGTAGAGTTTCCAAGGTTGTAATCTTTGTGGATGCAGACTGCCATGTCTTCCTCCTCTGGAGTGGCTGGTGGATTCAAACCACTAACCTTTCAGTTAACAGTTTCGTGCTTAACACTATATCAGTAAGGCTCCTATACAGACAGCAATCACAAACATTATTAAGCACTGTATACTTAAGCTACCTGCCCTGAATAATGTGTGGGTTCACTTAAGGACAAGTGCCTTAAGTGTATTTTACAAAGTTCATTAAAAAAAAAATATTGTTTAGACTCTTTCTAGCTGCCGGGTCTATGGCACTGGGCTAGCTGGGGTGTGACCTTACGTCTTGTTCATATTTGAAAACGGCCTTTCCTCTCTTCCCTGAAGGTTCCTGGACAGGATGGCAGGCGCTCTGACTGGTAGCCTTCACCAGATCTCTTCTGATGACCTGCTCCAAGCCGTATGTTCATGTTGTGTGATGAACCATTTCCCCCTGGCAGCTATTAATCAGCTTCTCCAGAAGGACGTCGTCAGTGAGCTGCTGACATCAGGTAAGATGTCAGTTTCTGGAACCCAAATACAGTCCGGTAGCTGCCTGGTGGATCTGAAGGAAAGGAAAGGACCAATACTAGTGATGTCAGGGGACAGTGCCTCAAGCTACAGAAGCTTTGAAGCCTCCCTTACTGACAGCGTCATCACAGAGAAGTAAAGGATATGGAATGGCCGATCGCCCTTCTGGTGGCTGAACTCGGTGTGAACAGTTGTTCTTTATCTTGGGCAGAGGTGTTTGCCTTTCCGTATCTTTGATGATACACTGGAAAGCCACCTTAGGCCAGCTGTTGCAGCTGGACCACATGGCCACTCGTGGCCTAGAATGACAGCCATTTAGATTAAGAAAGCAAACTGTTTTGGTTAATGAATTTATTTATTCCTAAGCCCAAATTAAGTGTTGACTTTAATCAGGAAGCCACAATTTCAGGATACAAAATTTGATGATGTGAGAGTAAAATTGTTTTGGGTTTGTTTGTTTTTTTAAGTGTTAGGCATTTCCAAAATTGGGTTGTACCGAATCAGCACCATGTGCTAGTTTTGTTAAGCAATGCAGTGTGGGAGGAACAGCTTTGAACCAGGAGTGCCTTCTGTCCTCACTTTGCCTGGAACTGATCAGGAGAGCTTGTGGCATTCCTGGGCATTCCTTCATGTGTCCCAGCGCTTCCCAAAGTGGGTGCTACCACCACCTGGGGGAGTGGTGCTGCGCTGTCTGTGGGGGCTGCAGAAGCAGATACCTGCCTACATTGAATGCTGGCTTATGGGCTCTCATATAAAACCTTTTAATAGCCAGGGGGACCCGAGTAATGTTTGCTCTGAAAAGGAGGTGGTAGGACCAATACGTTTGGGAACCTATGATCGTTACAATGAAGTGTTGATACCAAGCAAGGTGTCAAGTAAATAATCTCCAAAGAAATTTTGAACCTTCAACCATTTATCAGGTACAAGACATTGGTGATTAGGGAGACAGAGAGAGGTTCAACCTGGGAAGAAACAGATGTCTAGAAGTAGAGATGCATTAATATAATTTTTAAAACATCACATTAATATTTTTCTTAAATGACACTATATGTATATATAAATGACCTATATATATACACACACATATATCTATATGGTTTTTTTTTCCTTTTTCTTTCAGGAAATGTGGAGAGGAATATCTACAAGCTTCGTCTTTTGAAAACATGTCTAGAACTTGATGACACTCCTTACTGCAAGTCCTCGGACATCCCATTACCACCAGTGCCGGCCATCCCCCAACATCCCAATGCAAAGGTGGAAGGCGTGCTGAGTAGCCTTATGGGGGGCGAAGGATGCTTCTCCAAAAACGTACAGTTGCCACACAATTATCATATTGGTATGGAACTTTCCATGATTTTCTTTAATTGAGTGAGCGTATTTACTCCTGCTGCGGGATTAGGCATTTACTGTGGGAAGTTACGAGCAGTGGTTGAGAGCATTCGCAGGAGAGCTGGCTGGCTGGGTCTGGAGTCTCCCTCCCCGCCACACTATTGCTGCGATATTAGGTTCTTACCACGTCTGTTGTTTCCTGTTCTGTAAAATGGCAATAACACTGGTAAACTGCACCAACTCCTGGCCGGCACACAGTACGCCCTCAGTGTATTGTAACTGTTGCCCTTGGTGATAGTAATAGCTTCTACTTGCTAAAACAAAAATCACTTTGAGCAGTACTTGGAAAATTAAGATTGATTCATTGCTTTTCAGACTTTGAAATTAGAATGGATGCTAATAGGAGTCAAGTTCTTCCATTTTCTGATGCGGATACGGACTCGTCTGCTGCAGATACTCAAAGGTTGGTTAAATATACTCACGCGTGGCCTATATGGAGTCAAATCTTCGTTCTAAAAGACCTTGTATTAGACAACAGTAGTCCTCGTAAGGGAGACTGTCTGTTTGTGTCGCCCAGTCGCTCGGCATCAGGGACTGGGAAGGGGCGAGTCAGTGGAGCAATCACTCAGTGTCCCGGAGTCATCTAGGGTGACAGCCAGCGGATACAGGGTGATGGCTATGATGCCAATGGGCTTTGGCTGCTTTTGGTTTTCTTTTTCCTTCTCAGTGAAGTTAGTATTTCCAACAGGTCTTTATGTTAGGTGCCATTGAATGGGTTCTGATTCGTGGCAACCTTATGTGTCGTACGACAGAACAAAGCACTGCCCGAGCCTATGCCACCCTCATGATTGTTTTTATGTGTGAGCCCACGATGGCAGCCACCTGGTTACTCCATCGTGTCGCGGGCCTTCCCCTTTTTGCTGTTCCTCTGCTTTCCCACGCACGATGCTCTTCCCCAAGACCAGGTCTCTCCTGACAACATGCCCAAAGTACGCGAGATGACGTCTCAACATCTGCCTCTCAGGGGCATTCTGGCCATGTCTTTCAAGACCGATTTGTTGCTTCTTATGGCAGTCCACAATACTCTGAATATCCTCCACCAGGACCGTACTTCAAATGCCTCTGCTCTTCAGTCTTCCTTATTCCTTGTCCGTCTTTCACATGCAGGTGAGGTGATTGAAAACGCATCTGACCTCAAAGTAGCATCCTGGCTTTTCACAAGTTTTAAAGAGGTCTTATGCAGCAGATTTTACTCAGTGCGGATTATTCTTTGATCCCTTGACTGCTGCTTCTGTGAGCTTTAGTACTAGATCCAAGCAAGATGAAATCCGTGACCACTTCAATCTTTTCTCCATTTATAACGATGCAGCCCATTGGTCCAGTTGTGACGATTTTGGTTTCTTTATATTGAGTGAGAATCCATCCGGAAGTTTCCAGTTCTTGATCTCCATTGAAAGGGCTTCCAGTCCTCCTCGCTTTCAGCAAGCAAGGTTGTGTATCTGCACACTGCAGGTTGCAAATAAGCCTTGCTTCAATCCTGATACTAGGAGATTACGTGATCGGATTTTGCAAGACCAGCAATGACTTCATTGCAAATAGCTTTTTTCACTAATACATGTGGATTTCTCTAATGGAATACACAAACACAAAAATCAAATTGATTACATCTGTGGGAAGAACCAATGAAGAAGCTCAACATCAGCCACTAAAATGGGGCCAGGGCTGACTGTGGAACAGGAAATCATTTGCTCATTATGTAAGTTCAAGTTGAAATGGAAGAAAATTAAATCAAGCCCAAAAGGATAGGAACAATAAAAAAAAAAATGACTCCATCCATACCTTTGTTTCCCCCAAGCTTTCGTCTTTGAAGTCTTGCTCTCTCTCTAAGGGCTTGCCTCTTTGTGCTTGGTCTCCTTGTCTTGGTGTTCTGATGATCTGCTCTGTGCATGAGGCAAGACCAGAAGAGCATGCATCATTGGGTATCTCCGCCCCAATAAGCGTTAAACATTCAGCATTGAGCAAGCATTAAGAAGGGTGCATGCAGAGATGAACATGCGCCTCATCGAAACTGGCATCCTTAAAGGTGGCAGAGCATAGCACGTGTGCACAGCATATGAGAGCTTGGCGACGAAGCTGGCTTCATGCGGAAGTGGAGACCATGGTAGTCTGATGAGTGGCCGGGACTGTGGTCAGTGGAGGCAACAGTTTTGAAATGCCCAAGAGTAGGGATGCTGCTCAATGATTGTGCATGTAGCCTGCCTCTTTAATGATGTGGTTTCATGTTGTTCAATTTTATTTTTCAGAGTAGCTGTGCTTTGTGTTCGTCCATCTAGTTATTGTTTAGAGTCAACCCACCCCAGGGGATTACTTGCCATGAAGATGCGACATTTGAACATCATGGGCTTTCATGTGATACTGGTAAGGAAGAAAACTTCAGTTACTGAAATAATAGTGTTTGGAAAACAAGGCAGGCTGGTTGCCGTCAGGTTGATACTGACTTACGTGGCCCTAAAGGACAGAGTCAAACCTCCCTGTAGGCTTGCCGAGGTTCTGAGCAGAGTGTAAGCGGATTGCTGAGGGGCTTGTGGGTTGGAACTGCTGACCTTGGGTTGCAGCTGAGGACTCCGTACCGGTTGCGGTTGCCTTGGTTACTAGGAGTTACGCAGTATTGTCAGCATTTTTAGGTTGCTTGTTTTAGCCGTTATTTTTGCCACAAAAGAACATTCCTGGTACATGCATTGGCCTCCATGGAAATGCTATATTGAATCACCTTTTATCCCTTTTGCTTAGAGGAAGAATACAAATAATGCATTCACAATTGTATTAATGTTAAGACAAATGTAGAAATATTCATTTCCAGGATAATTTTAGCAAGAGTAGAAAAGATGCTTAGTTAAAGCCTTGTTTTCATGGACCGATATGAGGCTGGTGGAGGAAGTCTGTTAGCAGGAGAAGCTAAGTGGTTGAGAGAAGGCGCTTCTTCCCAGACTCCACTTTGACGCTCAGCATGGCAGCTGTTTTTCTCTCTCCCTCCCTCCCCCGTCCCTTTAGGATCTAAAAGTCGATGATATGTGTATTATTGAAGTGAACATGATGCGTTTCTGTTTATGGGCTACTTAAGACCTATCGGCTAACTATGTCGGAAACCCACACGCGCAGTTCTCTGCTCCGTGGGGTCCCTATGAGCTGGAATGGACTCAGTCGCAATGAGATCCTTTGGTTGGATCTGTGATCTAGCTTCTCCCAAGAGAGAAGTTACTGCGACATATAAAAGACCTTTCGCCTTTTCACAGCTTTCCAAACGGGTAGCTTTCATCAACCCCAGCAGGTGGAATAATTAGGCCACTCGCACGAGTGACTCTGAGACAGTGTCTGCCTTTAGAAGCAGTTACCTTGTGCTGCTTTGGCATGCTGCCACCTGTAAACTGGATTTTATTTTCTGTGTCATTATCTTGACAAGTGATTATTTTATGCTTTGTCTGTAAGGTCAATACTTCGGAGATTGAAAGACTAGAGATGAAGGATGCCATCACGTGGTTGAAGTCTAAAATCTATTCCATCGAAGCCCTTCCTTCTGCTGATGTGAATTTGCAAAGCACCTACTAAAATCAAAAGCACCTTTTTATATTGAGAGAAAAGCATTTGTAAAAATATTTTAATAAACATGACAATTTAATTTTCAGTGGAATTCACCTGACCGCTCACCATCCTAAAGGTGATTACTTCACTATTAAATTAGTTTTAAGAATGAAGAAATGTTGCTGCTGGCATTTTAGAACGTGTAGGGCAGGGGAAGAGTTCCAGAACCACACTAATTTCCTCTAGTACCTGGAGATTTGACGAGTCAATGAGCTTCTGGTCCAGCTTTGCATTAGCCTGGTGACGGATGGTGGCCTCGTACTTGCCATGGGTTACCAAGGAAGACCGCGTGTTTTGGAACCTTCACTTTTCGTTCCTATTGTAAGCTAATCTAAGGTAACTTGAAGGCTGTACCTCCAAATTGTTTTCAAATATTAGCCAGATAGCAATTGCTTTCAAAGTGTGTAAGAATTAGTTGTGCAGCAGGTTAAACTGTAGTACCCTGTGTTTTGCGTGAGGATCTAGTATCTGCATTTGTACTAGGTATGCTGAACAATGCTGCTGAAAGCTGCTTATGGGCCATCCTTCAGCAACACAGATGAGACAGTACATAGGTGGAACGGAGTCCACATTTTCAAGGCTGGTAGGCTGCTGGTTGCTGCTACTGTAGCTTGCAATTGTTGAGGTCCCTCCTTTCTGAACTTTGTTTACCTCTAATTCTTCCATTGTTGCACAGTTTTTTAAAATTAAATATACAGCTGACCTGTGTTGTGAGTCTGCAGAAATAATTTTTCAGCTGTGTTCTTCATGGTCTTGTTCAGACATTTGTTCTTTTGATCCCCCGAGGATACACGGAAGAATCAGCATGGTCTACTATGGAACCTACCACCTTGGTGCCATGCAAATTACTATTACTCTACCCGTAAGAGCATGGCATGCCCTGCAGAATATGAATATGTATTACCATATATACTCGAGTATAAGCCGACCCAAATATAAGCCAAGGCACCTAATTTTACCACAAAAACTGGGAAAACTTATTTCCTGGAATATAAGCCTAGGGTGGGAAATGCAGCAGCTACTGGTAAATTTCAAAATAAAAATAGATACCAATAAAATCACATTAATTGAGGCATCAGTAGATTAAATGTTTTTGAATATTTCAAAGAAAAAACTAAACTAGCTCTAAGCGGAAAAGGGTCAACAGAAACCTAATATGGTATCAATAATCACTAAAAGTACATAAACCTTAGCTCAATCAGCAACCGAGCTAAAACACAAGAGTTAAAATCCTTCAAAACCGATTCCTCCTCCTCATCTGTCTGTCCAAACAGAGCTTCCGCTTCAGCTGGGGTGAGGTCATCAGCGCAGACATTGTCAGCATCGCTGAGTCCGCAGTCTTCACCGTCACTGCTGTCCTTCTCACACACAGCGCGTCCTCACTGCCGTCCACAGCATCACTAACACCACATGTCTTGAAGGCGCGTTGCTCCATGTCCTCTGGGATCTCTTCCCAGGCATCACGAACCCACTTTGCTATCAATTCTATGTCGGCCTTCATCAGATTTCCAACTTCTGTCAGTCGGGCTTGACCAGATGACATCCGTTCATGCCACATCTTTCGCACACCGTCTTTGAAAGGTTTATTTAAACACATCTAGGGGCTGCAATACAGATGTAAGCCCACCTGGAATAACGGTCGAAATAACTTGAGAAGACTTTGCCAATGTTCTTATGTCATCAGATGTGTGGGCTCTGAACATACCCCAAACTAGCAATGATGGTTTTGCTGTAAGGCTGCTCCTGGTCGTCCGTTCCAAATTTCTTCCAGCCATTTTTGTTCCGTCTTCATCCGTCCAGCCTTCAGTATGTGCGTGCACTGTAATTCGTGGTGGGAATTTGACCTTTTCAGGCAAGGTTTTTCTTTTAAAAATAATGACAGGCCACAGCTTAGTTCCTTAGCCAAACATGACAGAACGTCTGTGAAGTGGTTTTTTTCATTCCATGTGATTCTGAGTGCTAGTTTTCTCTCCCAAACTTGCCGCAGTTCCATTGCTGGGAAGATCAAAGGTCATAGGTGTTTCATCCATATTCCCAATATCTCCCAAGTCATAGTTATGGATCCTTCTTTGCTTCATGATGAGTGAGTGGAATGACATCACTTTTTCATCAAGGTCTTTTGGCAGCTTCTATGAAATCTTTGTTCTTTGCCGCAAACATAGTGCAAATCTATTCATGAAGTGGGTACACCATCCTGCTGTCGCAACAAAATGTTCAGTGCCTGGTGCTTTTAATTTGTCGTTTTTAGCCATTTGATGGGCACGTAAGTGAATTCCCATGCATGTTACACAGTAACCATTTTGACAACACTCCATAACCCATTTATGCACTTCAGTCTCTTGAGCCCCGTATGAAATCGTTAAACCACGTCAAGCTTTTTTTGCCTTTGGAAGCTTTTCTAAGTCAGCTTTCATTTTCTGCCACTCCCTCGCTTGTTTTTCGTCAACACAAAATTCCCTACTTGTAATACTGTTGTTGCTTTTTTCTGCTCTTGACACATCCTTAAGTTTGAAACCAGCTTCATATGACCTGCGTTTTGTTGTGGTCCAGGACTAGACGTATTGGGATCCATTTCTACCAGGATAAAAAAAAGACTTTGAAGAAGAATGCTGTATCATAGTGATTGATTCTCAAAATAATGTGAGCCCTACTCCAAAAATAAGCCCTAGTTATATGTCTTAAAAGAAGTCAATTTATAGTAAAACGGGAGTGTCCAGGCAACTATACATATAAACAAGTAAAATCAATTGGCAATAGAATGCAGCAAGACAGATAGACTTCACCACGGAAAACAGATGCCCCCCAAAAGAATCACACTCAAAAGACACCACGAGACCCAAAATATGCTGGTTCACCAAGGGAGCTGGCAGTAATTCAGGGTTTGGAGAGTTTGGTTTGATAATATTCCAGAATGTGATGACACGATTATGTTTGCAGAGAGCAGCCTATGTTAGGGCTCAAATTATAAATGCCGTGTTACTACATGTGCTGCGTCACTTCATATGCTGCCTTACCACATGTACACAATGCAGCTTGTATAGTTTGAGGCCTAACGCAGGATGATGATATTCCAGAATGTGATGACATGACTGTTTGCATAGAGCAGCCTGTGTTAGGGCTCATAATATGTATGCTGCATTGTGTACACACTGTGTTACTGCATGCGCTGCCTTACTGCTTACACAGCATACATATGGGACGTGGGAACACACCACATGCAGCAACATAGTGCATATACAATGTAGCATGTATATTATGAGCCTTAACACAGGCTGCTCTATGCAAGTATAGTCAACACTGGGTCCAGACAGGCATTAATAAGAAAATAAAAAAAATAAAATATAGCAGACTAAGTACTGTAAATAAATGTACCATATATCCAAGACCAGAGATATACCGGTACTTGTATTCAGCAATGCTTGGGTGGAGCAAGGGGGTATGACCAAGCACAGGTAAGGCTGTAAAGGCTACATCATTGGTTACAGCCCTGGAGAAGAGTGGGAGAAGAAGAGTGGCCACATCTGACATTCATGTGACAAGGATGCGGCGCGCCCCAGGTACCAGCACACACAAGTGAGCAGGTTCTAGCCCAGTACTGCACAGACGACACAGATGCTGCCGGCGTGCAGGAGAAAAGAAGAATGGTGAGGGCAACTCTCAGGTTTCAGGTTGTATCTCATTCATATTTAGAAAAAGCGAGAGCTAGAAGAACGTTCTGTGACCCTTTAGTCCACAAGGGTCCCTGGTGGGGATGTGAGTTCTGCACTGGGCTGCTAATGCAAAGTCAACAGTTCAAAACCCCCAGCCACTCATGGGATAACGATGAAGCTTTCCACTCCCATAAAGAGTTACAGTCTCAGGAAACCACAGGGGCAGTTTTACCCTGTCTTATAGAGTCACTATGAGTTAACTTGATGGCAGTAAGTTGTGTTTCTTTCTTAAGCTCACTCACTAACCTTCAAGTCAGCGGTTCAAACCCACAAGCTATTTTACAGTAGAACACTGAGGCCATCTGCACCAGAAAAGATTCATACTCTCAGAAACTGCAAGAAGCAGTCTGTCTGATAGGGCGGCTCCGAGTCAACATGCAGTCAGTGGCAGTGGGTTTCATTCTTTGGGTTTGGACCTCATTGGATGAGCATGAAGGTCGGCTCAAAAAGGATTTTCCTGAGGCATCCACTACATCATTGGTTTCTACACCATTTCACCTGCTGTTGCTCTTCAGCTTGTGTATTTTTTTGGCCAAGTGATTTAACCATTATATATTTCAGATGAAATGGAAACATTCCACTCTTCTAGTGGCTAATTATAACCCATGGTCAAATGAATTGATGGAGTGGTCACGTTGATGAAAACAAAACCAGTTCTGGGGATGATAATGTCCTTGTGTTCGTACCAAGGACATTGACACTGACAGACAGAAGGTATTCCTCTTGGACTATCATTCTTCAGTCCTTTGCTGCTTTCTGATCTAAAATATCTTGTAGGAAGCAGTTGGTTTTAAACATTTATTCACAGTCCAGGAGAATGTGTAACTATTCTTGTGTTTATTCACCTCAACAACAATGGAAAGAAACAAGATTTGTGTGTCATGTTCCCATCTTACAAGGGAAAAGGAGCAATCGATAAGAATTGGGTGTTCAGGGAACAGAGAACAGCAAGTGACTGAAAATCGATGGCGAGGAGGATATAGAAGGTCTGGTAGGGCTTGATCAAGGGCAATGTAATGGAGAGGGTTACTGAAACCTAAATAAAGGCTGAACATGATAGTAGGACAAGACAAAAGTAAAAAAAAATAGAGGAAAGAACTAGGAGGCAAAGGACATTTATAAAGGTCTAAATACAGGCATGTACATTTGTAAATATATTTGTATATGTCAATTGGGAAAGAGATCTATGTGCATATATTTATAGGCTCAGTATTATGGAAGCAGAGGACATTGGGCCTCCACTCAAGTACTCCCTGAACACAAGAACACTTTGTTCTAATAATCCAGCACTCTGAGATGCTCACCTTCCCGACATGATCACTGAAGACAAAGGGGGTGCATAAGCAAATGTGGTGAAGAAAGCTGATGGTGCCCAGCTATTGAAAGATATAACATCTGAGGTCTTACAGGCTTGAAGATAAACAAGTGGCCATCTAGCTCAGTAGCAATAAAGCCCACATGGAAGAAGCACATCAGTCTGTGTGACCAGGAGGTGTCGATGGGATCAGGCATCAGGTATCAAAGACCCAGAGCAAAAAATAATAATGTGAACAACAGGGGGAGTGCGGAATGGAAGCCCAAAGTTAGTCTGTAAGCAATTGGACATCCCCTTACAGAATGGTCATGGGGAGAAGATGGGCCTGTCAGGGTGCAGTATAGCACCAATGAAACATACAGCTTTCCTCTGGTTCTTTAATGCTTCCTCCCCACCCCACTATCATGACCCTAATTCTACCTTACAATTCTGACTAGAGCAGATCATGTACATGGGTACAGATAAGAGCTGGAAACACAAGGAACACAGGACAGATAAACTCCTCAAGACCAATATTGAGAGTAGCCATACCAGGAGGGTAAGGGGAAAGTGAGGGCAGAAAGGGGGAACCAATCACAATTATCTACCTATAACACCCTCCCAGGGGGATGGACAAAAGACAAGGGGGTAAAGGGAGACATCGGACAGTTCAAGACATGAAATAATAATTTCTAAATTATCA